GAATGAAAACAGCGGAGTATTTGAAAGCGTTTAGTAAAAACCACAAAATGACCTTCTTCCCAAACATGGGACATTCATCGTGCGATGAGGTGAACGTTTTAACTTCCGTTCGGCATGAGGTGTTCATCATGGTACTTTCTTTTGCAGGAACTTGTCCAGTTGAAGCAGTTCGTCGACCAATGTTTGCCACTCGTTTGACTTCGGAACATTGTTCTTAGCCAAACGCTGCTAGCTTTTGCAAGCAAGATCACCGGTCATAATGTGGTTATTTTCTATGTTTTTCAAGATCATCACATAACTGGATTACGTTTTGGTATACAATTGTCTAAAAGGTCTGCAGCGGCAGTAGCCGTCTGTACTGTAGCATTTGCAACTGACATCGGATGTTTCGCCGCCGAACAGGCGCCGCTTGTGGTCTTGTGCACTTATTTTCAATCATTGGCTTTGTATGTAACGTTGATTCGTAGAGTATCCTATCTTGTTGATGATGATTCACTTTAAGCTTAGCTGGTAAACTCTGTTACGGTTAGAATTCCATCTGTTCCTTCTCGATTGAATACTTGTCGTACTGCAAATGATGGCTTTTTTAAAGGAAAAAGAATTTAATAAATTATTTGTGACTTAAAGCTGTGGTACACCTTTATTCTGCTGCCCTAAAGGCTACCTCTGAAACGTTGAAAAATTGACAGCCAAACAAAGAAGGGTCTCACTCAGTTGTCATCCTACATTTGAAGGGTAGACAGTATGATGCACAGTACCGTGATTTTTCGTTCAGTTCACTTCTGTTTTGTATCTTGTAGGTGTACAGTTTTTGTCCATTGCTTTTAGTCTTTTTGGTACTATTTTTTCACACATGCGTCTTTTCTTATGATGTGATCAAGACTTTTTAGTCTCCGCTTACGTATGCCTCTGAAGTGTGGACGTTGATTGCCGAGCGTATAATCCATTCTTTAGTTTTAAAACTATTCCAGAAAATTTTTAACATCTGTTTCTGGTATTATAGTTTGAGTAATTGAATTGGTTTTCTTAATGTTCAGCCAAATTAGAGACTGTAAAAGTTTGAGAGAAAATACGACTGCTCAGTTTTGGGTGTAACCTCGTAAATGAAGTTTGTAGACGTTTGCAAATCTCGGTCTTGCATTCATCAGTATTTTATTGTGTGAAGACGAAATGACTTCCTCCAACTCGAAACGTCATCCAGAGTGATTTGAATTAGAATGGCAGTTTCATAGGAGATTTCACGAAACCGTATTCAGAATTCGCAATTTCATCAGAGGCATTAATCTCTAGAATTTGTCTTATGACAATTACTACAACAACGACATTGTAACATTTGCATTTCTAACCTGTTACGACGTAATTAATTGCTCCCAGAGATGATTTCTGCAGCGAACGGCTCACGTTCGCAACATATGACACAACATAAGATTCACCCCATTGCCCTCAACACTAGGTAACTTTCACGTTGCTTGTTGGAGCGTCCGTTCCTTAAGTGACGAAGGTAAGCTATATGACATCTGTCGTCCCCAGTACTGGCTTGACGTACGATACGGCATTCACTGAGGCTTGCGTCTCGGAGAAGAGAACGTTAAAC